GCTGTCATCTGTAAAAACAGCCCTTTCAGACTTTGTTTTTCATAGAGAGGCTTACTGGTGTTATTAAAACAGCTAATATTGATAGAGCAGTTTTGCATCTTATAATTTACAGTACTGTTCAAACTTTGTAACTTGGAAAACTAGGCTTGTAGTGATCATAGCCCTATGGATAAAGAAAAAATAAAGGAAAAAAAGAAAAAAGAAAACTAGGCTTGGAGATAAATGATATGCTCAAGGTCCCCCAGATACTAAGTGGCAGAGCATGGGCTGGTATCAGCCTTGGCTGACGCTGACACCTCTGTGGCTAACCTATGACCCTGCCTCGGTACTGAGCCTTCTGCAGATTTTCTCAGGGATTGGAATGACAGTTGAATGCTAGCATTTCAGAGACCAATAAAACTTGCCCATTCCTGGCACCCACTTGTACAGTTTCAAGTCTGACTATTGACTTTGGATTAATTGTTCTAGAATTCAGAAAACACACTTTTTTATTTTTATTTTTTGGTGGTTGGCCGGTTCAGGGATCGAACCCTGGACCTTGGTGTTATCAGCACCATGCTCTAACCGACTGAGCCAACCGGCCAGCCCCGAAATCACACTTTTTGATGCCTTGGAGGTGGGCAGGTGACAGAGGTGACCAGGGGAGGCAGTGTGCCTGGGTGGCGGCCCACATCTCTGCACCCGCAGGCTCGTCGTCCAGAGCATTAAGAGCCCAGTGAATAATCCTATGTGTTTAACTTCACAGCTTTTAAAGCTTGTTCATTTCTATTGCCTCATCTAATCATCGTGGCAATATTTTCAGGTGGATATTGTTATCTCCTTAAAATGAGGTTTTAATGTATTGGTGCTAGGGCTGGCCTGTGACTCACTTGGTAGAGTGCGGTGCTGATAACACCAAGGCCACGGGTTCGGATCCTATATAGGGNTTGTTGTTGTTGTTGTTAAAACACTGCAATGCCTTCAGTCAGTCCTTGTCAAGTCTTGCAGATCTGGATGTCATCCCGTTGGTCTCAGAGCACTTTGCAGACATCTGCTCAGACCCCTAGATTTAATGCTGTTGTCTAACGTTCATGGGGCATCTTACGTGCTTCGTTTTATTCCAGTTCATTGGGGGATGTCCCATTGAAGTCTACAGATAACTGACAACCAGAAAAACTTTAAAATGAAGTATTTAAAAGTAGTTAGGCAAGATGAAGTGGTTAGGAGTAAGGGCGTGTTCTACTGGGAATTTTGGAGAGAGGTGCACTGTAGGGAAAGTGAAGGAAAATGGTCAGGGCCCGTCAGGTGCTCAGAATCTTGCCGAGCATTTGATGTGAATATGCACCTGTGCCCAGGTGTTCCTTGGTTATTGTCTAACGTAATTNGATGTCCCATTGAAGTCTACAGATAACTGACAACCAGAAAAACTTTAAAATGAAGTATTTAGGGGCTGGCCCGGTGGCGCACTGCTACAGTGTGCCGCTTGGGAGCGCGGTGGTGCTCCCGCTGAGGGTTCGGATCCCACATGCAGACCGATTCCCGCTCACTGGCTGAGCGAGGTGTGGGCACAACACCGAGGGTTGCGGTCCCGTTGCTGGTCCCGGTCCGGTACGGGCGCGACACTGAGGGTTGCGATCCGTTGCCGGACACGAAAAAGGACAAAAAAGGAAAAAAAAAAAAAAATGAAGTATTTAAAAGTAGTTAGGCAAGATGAAGTGGTTAGGAGTAAGGGCATGTTCTACTGGGAATTTTGGAGAGAGGTGCACTGTAGGGAAAGTGAAGGAAAATGGTCAGGGCCCGTCAGGTGTTCAGAATCTTGCCAAGCATTTGATGTGAATATGCACCTGTGCCCAGGTGTTCCTTGGTTATTGTCTAACGTAATTGCACATGTGCACCCAGCTGTCCTGGGTTATGGACTTAGGTATAAAGGATGAGCAGGTCTGATCCACAGTGCCCTCTGCTCCCGGGATGCAGGGGGTGGCACGGGGAGGCTGCTACTGCTGCTGGAGGCTGTTGCTACCAGTGCCCGCAGGATGCCCCAAGAGGCCACCACCACTGCTGCTTCTGCTGCTGAGGACTGAGCTCATGTCGTCTGCCAGCAGCTCCCAGAATCTTTCCCAATTACGTGGCGTGGACCTGCATGTGAGGAGTCTGGTGACCCAGTCTGTACAATGAGTTTGAAGGGTCTGAGCCCCAGCCCTGACAATACAAGTGGAAACTTAGTATAACTAAAATCATGAAACGTTTTGGCTCTAGTCATGAATTGCCTAGCCATACAATTAGCGTAGCTAGGGCCCCAACCAGGTCCGAGCAGGCAGGGTTTCTCTCCTGACCAGGACGGTGGACCAGAGGCCAGTACAAGGCTGGAGGCAGCGTCCCCCCAGTTTTGCTCCTCCCTGCAGCTGAAGCTGAAGAGCAGAGAGCCCTGATTTTAACACCTCCCACATTGTACCCATTTCATAATGAGTCCAGAGTATTTGCTGAGATGACACAATTTAGCTGCTCTCCAGGTTGAATATCTGCTGTGCGTCTAACACAGACAAATTGATTTCCAACCTTGTCATGAAATGACTGCTGATTTAGACAACAGGATGTTGTTAGTGTTATTTAAAAAATTGTATTAGTTTTTTTCTGATAACATAAGTAATATGTTCCTTGTAAAGAATCTGAAAACTACAGAAAAGAATACAGTAATAATATCAATAACAACAACATTAATAGCTGAATCAGTCTAAAACGTTGTAGGAAAGTCGTTTTAGCAAACTAGTTCTGCTGTTCCCACCCAGAGCCGACCAGAGCAGTTTGGTCAGCACAGAACCTCTGTAGGGAAATGTGCAAGATTTTCTTCCCCATGGCTGCGTCAGCCAGAGCACTGAATAAAAGAGAAAATACAAAACAACAAATTAAAAGAGTGGCGTGGACCTGCATGTGAGGAGTCTGGTGACCCAGTCTGTACAATGAGTTTGAAGGGTCTGAGCCCCAGCCCTGACAATACAAGTGGAAACTTAGTATAACTAAAATCATGAAACGTTTTGGCTCTAGTCATGAATTGCCTAGCCATACAATTAGCGTAGCTAGGGCCCCAACCAGGTCCGAGCAGGCAGGGTTTCTCTCCTGACCAGGACGGTGGACCAGAGGCCAGTACAAGGCTGGAGGCAGCGTACCCCCAGTTTTGCTCCTCCCTGCAGCTGAAGCTGAAGAGCAGAGAGCCCTGATTTTAACACCTCCCACATTGTACCCATTTCATAATGAGTCCAGAGTATTTGCTGAGATGACACAATTTAGCTGCTCTCCAGGTTGAATATCTGCTGTGCGTCTAACACAGACAAATTGATTTCCAACCTTGTCATGAAATGACTGCTGATTTAGACAACAGGATGTTGTTAGTGTTATTTAAAAAATTGTATTAGTTTTTTTCTGATAACATAAGTAATATGTTCCTTGTAAAGAATCTGAAAACTACAGAAAAGAATACAGTAATAATATCAATAACAACAACATTAATAGCTGAATCAGTCTAAAACGTTGTAGGAAAGTCGTTTTAGCAAACTAGTTCTGCTGTTCCCACCCAGAGCCGACCAGAGCAGTTTGGTCAGCACAGAACCTCTGTAGGGAAATGTGCAAGATTTTCTTCCCCATGGCTGCGTCAGCCAGAGCACTGAATAAAAGAGAAAATACAAAACAACAAATTAAAAGAATGTGTCAAGAAGAAATCTGCCTCCCTGGGGATAAGTCAGAGCAGCTCTCAAATCCCCTCTTTGACCCCCTAAACCTGATAACAATATCCAATGCACCTTCTAGACAAAGATGCTGGAGTGAGTTGGGTAACCGCAGGCCACCGACTCCCTCCCTGCAGTCAGTCCTGGAGAAGCCATCATGTTAGACTGAGCAGGACTGAAGCCATGGTGGGACCGAAAACTGCATGGGCTTTAAGAGGAAAAAAAAAAGACAGTTTTTTCTTAGCCTGCATTTCTCTGCGTTCCCTCTTTTCCCATGCTTATCTGATACTTCGAACCTTGGTTACAGGGTCAAGATGACATTATTTACATAAATGTCAAGTTGTTTTCCAGTCAGCCTGGGGTTCCAAACTTGCCGTGAGGCATGTACTGTCCACACCCTGAGAAACCAAGGAGACATCCATAAAGTGACTTCACTCTGAAGCATATCAAATCCTGCAAGACCCTAAGAAAATATCAAGGCTGAGAACAGAGGCCAGAGAGCACCTTGGCAAGAATTTGCACCTGGTCCCTTACCTTCCTCTGCCTCCTGATTTTCATGTCCCACGTTCCATTCCCTCAACCCCCTCTTTAAAAACCCCTCAGTCAACCTGAATCCCGGAGACGGCCTTCAGGCTTACCAGGGAGATGGATTAGCCCAATAAAAGCTGACTTCCTGGGCTGGCCCGGTGGCGCACTGCTACAGTGCGCCACGTGGGAGCGTGGCGGCGCTCCCGCCGAGGGTTCGGATCCCACATACAGACTGGTTCCCACTCACTGGCTGAGCGAGGTGCGGGCGCAACACAGAGGGTTGCGATCCCGTTGCCAGTCCCGGTCCAGTACGGGCGCGACACTGAGGGTTGCGATCCGTTGCCGGACACGAAAAAAGACAAAAAGGAAAAAAAAAAAAAAGCTGACTTCCTGTTCCACCAACATTTAACTGTTGGTTTGTTTGGTTTTTGTTTTGGGGCAGGCAGTTGAACTTGAGTTTGGTAACAAGATATTGGTGGGCCAAGCCAGAGTGTTTGGGGCAAGGCAGCCAGACTTGGGTTTGGTAAGAGTAACAGAGAGAGTAAAGCCCAGATCTGAGGAACTAACACACTAACACTTGCCAGGAAAAGCCAAAGAGATTGCAGGCTGGTGTGAATTAGTGTGTAGAGAAGGGGCTGTGATGTGGGGAAGAGGGTGTCAGGTTTGGAAATGTGAAGATAGTTTTGGGGAGTGGCTTGAAGTCCTTTTCTTTCTTTTTTTCCAAAAGATAACCAGTAAGGGGATCTTAACCCTTGACTTGGTGTTGCCAGCACCACACTCTCCCAAGTGAGCTAACTGGCCATCCGTATATAGGATCCGAACCCGTGGCCTTGGTGTTATCAGCACCACACTCTCCCGAGTGTAACTCGCTCACTCTTTTAGAAAAGAAATACAATAATTGAAATAAAAAATCGCCATGGGTAGATTTAACAGCAAATGAAACATGGGTGTAGTTGGAATTCGCAAACCAGATAGGTCAAAAGAAATCACAATTGCACTAATTCACAGAGCTATGAAAGCCAAGGAACTTCAAGCAGGATAAATAGAAATTACACTCAAATGCAACATGGTGAAATTGGAGAACATGAAAAATAAAGAGAAGAGCTTAAAATCAGCTAGGGAAAAAAGATAGATTATCTTCAAGGGAACAGCAATTAGTTGGTAAAAAACTTAATGAGCTGAAAGAGAATACTGCCCATCCGAAATTCTATACCCAGCAAAAGTATCTTTCAAAAAATGAGATGAAATAAAGATGTTTCAACCAAACAAAAACTGAGAGTTTGCCATCAGCTGATCATCACTAAAGGAAATTCTTATAAAATACTATAACTAGGGCCGGCCCGGTGGCGCACTGCTACAGTGCGCCGCTTGGGAGCACGGTGGCGCTCCCGCCGAGGGTTCGGATCCCACATACAGACCGGTTCCCGCTCACTGGTTGAGCGAGGTGCGGCGCAACACCGAGGGTTGTGATCCTGTTGCCGGTCCCGGTCCGGTACGGGCGCGACACTGAGGGTTGCGATCCGTTGCCGGACACGAAAAAAGACAAAAAAAGGAAAAAAAAAAAATACTATAACTAGAAGGAAATTCACCCAAGACAGCAGCTCTGAGGCACAGGAAGGAAGGAATTTTTGAAAGGTGGAGGACTAGACAGTTAGCTCAGATGGTTAGAGTATGATGTTATAACACCAAGGTCAAGGGTCTGGACTGCTGTACTGACAAGCCACCAAAAATAAAAATAAAAATAAAAAAGGGGGAAGTGATAAATGTTAATGAACACTGATTGTATAAAATAGTAATAATATTATTTTAGAGGTTAAAGAATAGAATTGAAATAGCAGCACTTACATATGTAGGATGGAGATCCTTCTGTTATCTAGGAGGAGGATAAAGTATTTATTATATTTAATATCTGATCAACTGAACAGATTAAAGGGCCAAAAAACAGAGTTAAGTATATATTAAATTTTGATATATGACAGAAGTAACATAGAAGACCACTGGGGAAAGGGGGGACTGCTCAACAAATAGAAAGGGAAAAATTGGTGTTCTGTAAGGAAAAAATAATTAAAACTAAGCCCAGCATACACAGAAAGTAACTCCAGATGGATAGGAACTTAAATGTTATATAGATAGATATTTTTCTGACTCTTGTTTTCCTAAGACACAAAAAATGCAAAACATAAACCATAACCATAGCTTCTGCTCATCAATAGACACCTTAAAGAAAGTGAAAGCTGCTAACTAGGAGAAGATATTTATACTAAGTATACCAGAGAAGAGTCATAAAAAAATATGTGAAGAATGCCTATGAATCAATAAAAAATACAATAACTCAATAGAATAATAGGAAAAAGCCAAAGGACAGGAATTCCAAGAGGAAACATATTGCTAATGAACATACTGAGATACTCGAATGTGCCAGTAACCAGGAATATCAAGGCCACAGAAAGACACATTTTCATCAATTTAACTGGTAAATGTCAAGAAATCTGACAATACCAAGTCTTAGAAAAGGTGTTGATCAGTAGGATATCTTATACATTGCTGCTGGGAATGTAAACTGGTCCAACCACTGTGGAAAACAATTTGCCATCTAGCAAAATTAGGTGCTCACGCATCTTATAAGTCAGTTCTTTGTCTATACTCAAAAGAAATTTTAATATATTAATACCCAATGATCTGCACAGGAATGTTGATAGTAGCACTGTTTGTAATAGCAAAACCAAACACACTGGAAACAACCAAAATGCCAATTATCAGGAGAATGAATGAATAAATTGTGGCATATTCCCTTGGTGCAATACCACATGACACTGAGAAATAATAGCCATTGTTACATGCAACAACATGAATGAATCTCATAGACATGGTGTTTGCTAAAATAACAGAAAATAAATGAACTCTAGATACACATAACATAGATAAATATTGTTAATAATGTTGAATCTAAAAGCAAGTCCCAGCAATTCCACTCCTAGACTCATACCCAAGAGGAATGAGTGATTATTTTCCCCAAAATACATGTACAAGAATGTTCACAGCAACTTTATTCATAATAGTCCAAGCCTAGAAACAGACTAAATGTCCATCAATAGGAGAATGGATCAATGTGATATACTCACATAGTGAAATACCGCATAGCAATGAAATAGAACTAATAATTGCTACACACGACAACTTTGATTAATCTCATAGACACAATCCCCTTCATGAAAGAAGCCAGGTGCAAAAGCCAGTGACCTCGTATAAATGATCTCATTTATGTGAAAATCAATACAATTAGGCAAAACTAATCTATGATGACAAAGATCAATTTCTTTTGGTGGGAGTGTCAACTGGGAGGGGGTGTGAGGGAGCCTTCTGGGTTTTGGAAGTTTTCTACGTCTTGATCTGTGTGGTAATTACATAGATATATACACATATAAACATTCATTGCACTGAACATTTAAGACTTGTGTACATTACTGTACGTTATACTTTAATAAGAAAGTTTTTATTTTGTAAAGTAAGTCCCAGTTGACAAGATAACATTTTACCCTAAACAATAATATTCACATGTAATAAAAAAGAAAAAAGGGACGGAAGGAAGGAAAACCTAAAATTCAAGATGTTGTTTCCTTCCAAAGGGAGGACAGAAGAATACCACCTAGTTCTTGGGTTGGGTGGTCGTGTTATTTTATTAAAAATTAGTTTAAAATAAAATATATAGCAGGGGGATTATAAACCAGTGACAACAGTGGGTCATGAACCAGGGGTCATATATAATCCATCTAATTTTTAATACCTGACGTCATTTCTGTGGCACAAATACCTGTGCCTGATTATTTACCTGATAACATTTCCTAAGTTGGTTAAACTTAAGTTCACTCGTGATCCTTCCCTCAGTCTGTCTCCGGATCCTGAAGATTTCTGCCTTTTACCTCCTGCTAAATCCACCAAATTAATGCTGGATTGTTTGGTGAGGTCTCTGTCTAGGAAAACCTGTAGAAAAGCACCACAGGCCATGTCAGAGGGTGGCAGGCCACATAAAGTCAATCTAGTGTCTGTGTTTCCATGGCCCTGCTAATTGTATTTCAGACTCAAAACAGAGAATAAAAATCACAAATTAAAATGCCACCCTCTTGGGCCGAGCCCATGGCGCACTCGGGAGAGTGCGGCGCTGGGAGCGCAGCAGCGCTCCCGCCGCGGGTTTGGATCCTATATAGGGATGACCGGTGCACTCACTGGCTGAGCGCAGTGTGGCCAGTCTCAAAAAAGGACAAAAAAAATAAATAAATAAAAATTTAAAAATAAATAAATAAAATAAAATGCCACCCTCTTTACAATGACATTTTACAATAATACATTACCAAGCCCAAAGTCTCAGTTGCCCCTTCCCAGTTTGGCCAAGCTCTTTTGCCAGGATGTATTTAGATACTAATTATTGCTCCAGGATTTATATAGTCAATAACATTTTAAAAATATAAAATATTGTGAAATCTGCAAAATTAGTAACTGTTGAGAATTGTGCAGTCAGGTAGAAAGAACACGAATTTTAGAATCCTACAGATTCCCTTGCTGGCTACGTGACTACGAGCACATGACTCAACTTTCTGAATTTCAACTTTCTCAACTCTGAAACGGTGGTAGTAACACATAGTAGTAATAAAATAAATAGATGTTGTGAGGGTTGAAGGTGATGGGTGTAATGGTGCCAACACACGCCTGGCAGAAAATATCAGCTGGTGTTACTTTTGACCCCGACACAGTTTGCTACTAAATCTGTTCACTCATTTTTTTTTTCCTGGTGTTTTAGAGCTGGTAAATAACGGAGTCACACTTATACATGACCCAGTGTTTTTTGCAGAAAACACTGATGAGAGCAGGATGATTTTCATTAATTGCTAATCCATCTATTACTGGTACTGTGACTTAGGGGACAGAAGTGGTAAGGTCAAAGCTAACTGTGGCATTTCCCCAGGATTTGTGAATAACCATTTCAAGACCAAACTAGTGCTGTTGTATAGA